CCTCTGCCCTCCCTCATCTGGAAGGGACAATGAACGGGAGAGCATAAGGCCTGGTGCCAGATCAGACATCGGGTCCTAATACAGGGCATCCATCCCCGAGACAGTACCCAGCTCCACCCCTCCCCTCGTCCTCACTGATCTTCAAGGTACTTGAAGCTATTGGAGGCCATACCCAGCAAGCAGGTCACCGTGGCCTCGCAGCCAGCAGCCTGCCAGAGGCAGATCGGAAGGGCAAAAAGATTCAGAGAGAGGTTGAGTGACCTGCCCAAGGTTGCTCATTAGAAAGACTTCTGTCCGCGAGCAAGTAGGGGAGCGGCATGAGCCTTTGAGCTGGCTGACATGTTCAGCAGCTTGGGGTCCAGTTGTGCAGGGGAGGACCTGGATTCCTAATGTTACCAGAGCTAAGGGACCCCTCCCCAGACTATCCTGACTATAGAAGAAGGCACTGTCCCAATATTAATTATTTGGAAAAGGTCCTCATTTCCTCTCTTTACTGACTGATTCTATTGCCCCCTCCCCAACACATACAACATGAAGATGCCACAGTCCCAAACACACACACACACACACACACACACACACACACACACACACACAGATGTTACAGTCCCAAACACACATCCAAAGGCAGCCCTGGGCTGCACTGGCACAGCCGCCATGGCACACACCGCTTGGCAAGAGGTTGGCAAAAAGTGGATACAATGCCTGAGGCCCTGACTGGCCTAAGAGGAAGAGAAGAAGACAGGCTTCCTTCCCGGGGTCCCCTCTCCCAATCCATGCTGGGATCCTACCCTAAGATAGCCTGCACATCTCCGTCCCGGGAGATAAAGAGTGAGGTGCCCCACTTTCAGTGAAAACCCTGTGTGAAAGGACTTTTGGCTGACTACACTTTGGACCCCAAGAAAGGCATAGCTAGGCAGCACCCTGTCCCTGAAGTTGTGGTTCTTACTGTACTGGAAAGAGCAAAGAAGCTGGGGCCAACAGCAGAACGGGGGATGCGGAGAAGAGCTCACCACCCCCTCCCTCCGAGGCCTGGGCACTGAGAAGACAGGGAGGAGGAGGGGGACAACAGTCCCATATCTAGACAAGTATCCAGCCAACACGTGGAAGGAAAATCTGTAGCCGCCTCTCAGGTTCCTGTCCCAATTCTATTGACTGTTTCTATCTTCCCGGCACCCCCACCTCTCCAACTGCAACAAAACCCTGACTAGGAACTACGGCTTTTACACTCTGTTCCTTCAGAATCTGTCCCGGGATGGGAGGAGGCGGCGGCCGCTGTGTTCTGCAAACTCATGTTCTTGCTGGACTGCAAGAGGGCAGAGTGGGGTTGGGCGGGGGTGTGAACAGATTGTATCCACAGCTTCCAGGGCAGGATGGAGATTTTCCCTAGGCCTCTTATCTTCCTCTCCAGTCCCAAAGTCCAAAACACAGGAGGAGGCAGGAATGGAAGCGGCCTTCCCTGCGCCCCCTACTGGGAGAAGTCAGAGGTGGGGTCTCCAGCAACCTGGACAAGGCTCAACAATGGCACTAAGGCCCCCAAACTCTTCCCATGCCCAAAAATGTCCCCCTACAGTCTCCCTCTAAAGCTGCCTGTCTGGATGGTGGGAACAATCCTGCTCTATAGTTCCCAGGACAGTCCTACTGTATTGTAATTGCCCATCTTTTTTATGAATTCTTTATCCATGTATGCGAGTGCTCTGTCTTCATGTGCACCAGGAGGAATCTGATCCCCCTATGGATGGTTCTGAGCCACCATGTGGTTGCTGGGAATTGAACTCAGGACCTCTGGAAGCACAGTCAAGTGCTCTTAACCGCTGAGCCATCTCTCCAGCCCCACCTTGCATCTTCTATCCTCCTTTGTCCACAAGTGCAAGGTGCCTCTACTGGAATAGTCTAGAGGATTCTTAAGGTACAGATAAACTCCTGACCCACGGCAGGTGCCTCCCATTCTACTGGGTCACATGCCCAGTGTGCTCCCCAGATATGCTAGCCTAACCTGGCCCTCTTAGGAATCTGGTAAATGTCCCTGTGGTACAGAGGAGGAAACATGCCAAAGAGAGCACCATCTAAGTGACACCCCTGAAGCCCAGGGAATTCCAAGGGTGCCTAAGACAACCATTGTCTTAGTTGTCCTCAGGCAGGAAAACACAAGAACATCAGAGATACTGCTCCCTTTCCCAAACACAAGCTGAGTTAGGTCACGCCCCCTTAGGCCCTTAAACCAGGGTCTAAATCATGCCTCTCCCCCACCCCCCCACCCCAGTCCCGGCGTACATACAGGCTGACATTCCCCTCTTCAGCTCTGGATTTGATTTTCTTCAAACACATTGAATTCTAGAACACTCTCACGCAGTATACACAAGCCATTAATCCCCCTTCTCAATATACTCAGCCTTGACCCCGTCATCCCCCAAACCACACAACCCTGACCTCCCACAGTAAACACACCAAGCCTCAGAGGCCAACCAACAAAGGGACAGGAGTCTAGTGCTATCTCTGGGGCCTCCACCCTGGCTCCCTAGGAGACCGGCAGCAGGACAATACCTTGCCTCCCTCCCACAGGTCACCTGTTCTCCACAGAGTTCATGCAAGGCACCTAAGGTGCAACCTCGCAAGAGGGCCAGGTAGGGGAGGCCATCTGGACAGCTCTGTGATTGTGGGACTGGAGCTGGGAGCCTGGGAGGTCACCGGGGACAACACTGCTTCATGCTGGAAGGAAAGGCCGCTGCTTCCCGCCTCCAGGAACTGCCTGACCCCTGTGCTAGTCCCAGGAGAGGCTAAAGCTGTAAAATTCTGAGCTGCTTCCAGGCACCCAGTGCACAGCAGGAGGGGGTTGGAATGCCTGGCTGTCTCAGACCCAAGGCCAGGCCTCTGGCCCCTAGTCCTAGAAGGTGCTCAGAGGCTGGGGAGTAGGGAGGAAGAGATGTTGTTGTTTACTAGAGAGGGGGAGGGGTGGGAAACCCACAAGCTCACAGAGGAGGGGGCAGGAAAAGGGCATTGCCTAACCTGGGTGGAGAAAGCCAAAGAAGGCTGCCATTTGCCCGGTATATGGGCACCCCACCCTGGAAGTAGGTTACCAGGGTGGGGGCTCTCCCCACCCACCTCTAAGAAAGAGGAAGGTGTTTGCAACACTCAGAGGAAGGCAGAGAATTTACTTTATCTCTCACAGGGGTCAGATCCCAAATCCCCTTGCAGCCCCTTCAGGGAGTCTGTCTGTCCAGCCCCTTGTTACCGGCACACGGACCGGCACAACCAGCTTGCAGGACCCCTAACTCCTTTGCTTCTTAAAATTTCCACCCTGGAAGGAAGTATAATTCTCCCAGCTCCTGGTGGGTGACCGTATGAGCTCTCATTCCCTTCAAATGCAGAGAGCATCTGTTTTGGCTTTTTTTGAGACAGGGTATCTCTGTGTAGTCCTAGCCTGGAACTTGCTCTGCAGACCAAGCTGGCCTTGAACTCAGAGATCCACCTGCCTCTGCCTCCAGAGTGCTGGGATGAAAGGCGTGCACCGCCACCACCTCCAGGCTGCAGGGATGGTTTTTACATAGGTGCACTTGCCCGATCCCCAACACTCTGGTCTCCCCATCAGCAGACCAGACTAGAAAACCAGAACAGAATGGGGTTCTCAGACTCCCCTACATAAGGTGGGGAGAAGAGGTAGAAATCAAAGGTGAAGGCTTGAGGAGTTGTTAAGGGGGGTAATGAAGTAGTACCTGTCTGCTCCTTAGCCCCGCTGTATAAGGGAAAGGAACATGGGCATAGACTATCTCTTCCTGACGGCTGGTGGGGCCTGGAAGGGAGGGGGCTGCGACAAGGCCTGAGGCCAGAGGCGGCGATCCAGGAAGCAGTGGTGGCTGTGGGCAGACAGCCAGTTGTGGGCAGTGAGGCGCCCAGCCAGAGCCTGCCCCAGGGACAAAGAGACTCCCTGGCTCCGGGGAGAGAGTGCTACCCCCACACCAAGAAGGGGGCACTGACCCAGCCCAGCCAGGCACACAGGGCAGTGGTGCCAGGCAACTTGCCAATGGCTGTGGGAGGGGCAGTGGGTGCCAGGCAGGGTGCTTGGTCCCTGCCAACCAGGAGAGGTGGGACACGTTTCCCAGGTCAGCAGCTGACCAGCCAGCCAGCCAGCCAGCCATGGCCTGCTCTGCTGCTTCCCACCCCCTCCTGCCCCAGGCCAAGCCCAGCTCCCTCCTCCTAGGCTCTGGCCTGGAGCCCAGCTGGGCCCTGGGGGCCAGAGTTACTGTAAGCGGCCTGGCAGGCCCCAAGCCTGGACTTTGCCAGCTGGCTATAGCCACTGCCACCTCCCACTACCTGGCTTGGCCAGCTAGGGAAGGGTACTGAGACCCTCGCCCAGCCAACTTGTGACCCTCACGGCAGAGGGTAGAGGCAGAAAACACAGGCCCTGCCAAGCCTGTGCATGTGTCCAAGGTCAGAGTCCAGGCAGAAAGCCCCCACGGAGTCCCTCCCTGTCCTTCGGGGGCGGGGGAGTTGGGGGGGGGTGTTGCATGGGCTCCAGCTGTGCTGAGCTGCCCTGGGCTGTCTCTGGAAGCCCTTTCCCTCAGAGGACTGGGAGAGGGTGGGGTGGAGGTGGGTTTCACTCTCATAATGTAGAGCTGTCATCCCCCCCCCCAACGCCGAGAGGTTTGTTTATCCACATCAGCTTCTGCATCCATCCCTCCTCAGAGCTATTTATAAGGCCCTCAATAGCATAGCGCCAGCGACACAAGGGACAAAGGGGGACAACAACAGTAGGAAGGAACCAAATGGTTTCATCTTTTCTCTACCACCCCCAACATCAAACAAGCTAAGAGCGGGGGGGGGGGGGCATCGTCAAGCCCCCCCTCCTCAACCCCGCACCCATACACACCATGGTCCCCCTAGTCTAGAAAAGACCTTGTCACTCACTGTGCCTCCAACGGAACAGATGTGTCCAGGGACCCCAATCCTGGGGCCTGCCCCCCTCCACACGCCCTCCCCCAAGCCTCCCCACCTAGACTTACTGGCTGGGGACGGTGTGCTGTATCCACTAACTGGAAGTTGGTGCTGGAGACTGCTGAGGGCGCCTGGAGGGGAGAGTCCACCCAACATAGGGGGGAAGAAGAAGGCGTAGGGGGGCACCGGGTACCCATTGAGGTGCCCGCCCCCAGGTGTTGGGCAGGAACTGCTATTGCTGGCCATGCCAAGCGGTCACAGTCAGAACGGCAGGCGAACAGTTTGGCAGGCAGCTGTGATATGCTTCACGCGGTCTCTCCTCCTCCGGGCATGGGGCCTGGGCCCAGAGGGGGTTCGGGTGGTCAGCCCACCCCCACCCCGTTCTGTCCCTGGAGTTGCAGTCCAAAGTGAGTGAGTTAATTTCAGCCTTCTGGAGCCCCCTCCCTAGCCACGGGCCAGGTGGACTGAGGAATGTCCCAAGAGTCGGTCCTTTGGTTAAGCAGTTCTGTGAGCAGACACTTCTGTAGGAAGGTCCAGAGCTGGTCTTCAGGGTGTCAAAAAGGATGCCACTCCCAGAAGGGCCCCAGCTAGGCGGCTGGGGGGTGGCATGTCCCGCGGTGCTGCAGAAAGAGGAAAGGCAGGTAAGTGGGTACTGAGCGGGCGCACGGGATTCCCCATGGCGCTCCCCAACCTGGGCAGCCAGAGATTTTCCTGTGGCACCCAGCTGAGCAGACACCTGGCACCATTCCTGGCTGGCAGGGCCAGCCTAGGACTAGGGCCCAAACACTGCTGGGGGTGGCAGGATGGCACAGCCAGGCTGGGAACATGGGGACAGGGCCCAGAGCACGGGAGGGCCTCTCACCCAGAATGCTTGGGAAAGGGTCCACACAGTGCCACCCCAAAGATCGGTGCAGCTGAGGCAAGCAGCTGGCTCTCCTTCCCCCAATGTGGGTTACCTGAGGTCAAGATACAGAGAACGCGCTGACAGGGAGGGGGAGAAGCCGCTTCCCTAAAGCACTGGCACTTCTCAGAAAAATGACTCCTAAGTGGGGAGGGGGGGCTCTCACACCACTTCCCCCCTAAACCTAAGACCCAGCATCCTAGATCAGTACATCCCTCCCCTGAGGAGGAGGAGGCCAAATCCATAGCCACGCAGGGGAACGGGTCTCCAGGTCTCCTAGGCAACATTCCCAATACCGAACAGTACAGGTAGCCCCAGGAAGCCCTAAGTCAGGAAAACGACACCCAGGGGATGAGGGAGTAAGTGGACAGGACATGCAAGACCAGATGCTACCCTCGCCAGCGTGTACACAGATCCATCCACACCCTGTCTGAAGAGCTGAGGCCAGAGGGTAGACACAGATAACACCTTGGGGTAGAGACACAGCTGCGACCTACAGATTCCGATACACAGCCAGATAGGGAGAAGCAGAGCTAAGGACTCTTCAGGTCGGTCTGAGTGTAGATTATACACAAATATATACAGCTGTAGAGGGACGTGTGTTGCAAATATATACACACATAAATGTATCATACATACATATGATAGAAGAGACACAAAAATAAGCCAAACAAAACCAAGTCTTACTTCCGTCTGTTCCCCTGACAGGTACTGATCTAAGAATATCCCTAAATGTCTACACACTAGGATGGCTGTGACCCGCTAACAGGGCCCAGAGATTTGGCTCTGTTGGTAAATGTTTTGCTCTGCATGTATGAGGACCTGATTTTAGATACCCAGCAAAAAGCCAGGCACAGTGTCATACACCTGTAACCTCGGTGTTGGAGGAGCAGAGCTGGAAGGATGCCTGACTGACGTCTGCTGGCCGGCCAGCCTCACTGAAGCAGTGAGCTCCAGGTTCCCTCAGAGACACTATCTCAAAAATTATGACAGAGAGTTATTGAGAAAAGATACTCGGTCAGGCTTGGTGGCGCATGCCTTTAATCCCAGCACTCGGGAGGCAGAGGCAGGTGGACCTCTGTGGGTTCCAGGACAGGCTCCAAAGCTACAGAGAAACCCTGTCTCAAAAAAACAAAAATAAAAATACAAACAAAAACAAAGGACAAAACAAAACCTTAAACATAGCACTCGCATACACAGCGAGTTCATTCCTGGGTATCTACCCAAGAAACAAGACAATGGAAGCCATGCACAACACGGTTTGTGTGTGCATGCTCAGATCAGGATCACAGATCCCAAGTGAGCAGTGAAACCAACCCCGAGGTCTAAAATGGTGGCCACCCAATGCGCTAGAGTATTTCAGTGCCAAAAAAAGAGAACAAAGAACTGACATGCAAACATGGCCAAGCCCTGAGAACAATACAGTTGCCCAAGATGCTATGTTGTATGATTCGACTTCTAAGAATGTCCAGGAGGAGCAGAGAGATCTGTGTGCATACATTTGTGGTTACTAGGAACTAGGGTGTGAATGTCAGGGAAAGGAGAAGTAGCTGCTAGTGGGTATGGGAACTTTTGGGGGTGGTGAAAACGTTTTAAAGTCGGTGGTGGCGGCGGCGGTGGCGGCGGCGGTGGCAGCAACGGTGGTGGTAGCTGCGTGATTCTATATACACAGGCAAGAGCTATGCAACTGTGCAGAGTTGCAACTCCTTGTTTTTCTGGCTTCTTTCTGAAAAAGTCTCACTCACTAAATCACTCAGGCTGGTACTGAACTTGCAATCTGTCTGTCTGAACCTCCAGAGGACTGAGATTACAGGTGTACACCACCCACGCTGGGCTTACACTGTATACTTTTAATTGGGCAGAGGAAGGCAGGTCTCTCTCTTTGAGTTCGGGGCAGGCCTGGTCAATGAAGTGAATCCCAAGACAGTCAGAGCTGTTACACAGAGAGAGACCCTGTCTTGAAAAACCAAAAACCAAAAACAAAAAACAAAACAAAACAAAAGAATTGTCCCTTTCCAACATTCCCCCTCCATCCCTACTCCCCACACTCAGGACATACCAGGTTCCAAGCTCCAGGCTCCAGGCCTAAACCTGGAGACTGGAGGATGCATATATAACCAGCATTTGCCTGGGGACCAGGATGAGAATGGGGGTGTTCTTGCCAAGGCCACTGTGGAAGAGCACTGTGTCCTCTGTCGACTGTCCCAGCCTGTGTCTTCTGTTAACTGGGGAAGACAGAGAGAAAGGGGGCAGGTAGTGGCCACAGAAGCAACAGCTCGGCTGGAGTGAAATCCGCACTGTGTTAGTGATTCATCACACCAACCACTGGGTGGGCCTCACTCCTGAATGAGGTGCCTCCTTCCCTTCACAGACCGATGACTGATGTCAGAGAAAAATGGGGACTCCACCTACAGGGCCAGCTGCCGCTCTGTCCCCCATCTCCTGTGGGATCCCATACAACAGGAACACGGGCTGCAAGAGCCACGCTAAGGAGGACAAGTGTCTGCACTTGGACTCTCTACAGACAAGCCACACACTTGCAGAAAGTCACCCATGCGAGCCTACAGAAAACATCTGGGTGGGCGAGAGCAAGCCTGCTGCCGTTGCCTGTGGGTAGGCAACATGGGAGCAGAAGCAGCCTGGAGAGAGCATCTCTCCACACCTGGCCCCAACCACACAGTGAGTACAGTCCAGGACTTATGTACATGGGCTCCTGCATACACTCCCAGAAGACACACAACTGTCGCCTTATAGTCTCTCAAGGTGCACAGTCTAGCTTAGGAGATGCTCCGAGGTCCTCCCTGTGGGCCAGCCCCGAAGCTGCATGGTACCATCATCCCCCAGCCCTCAGGAAGACTCTTGTCTACACAGAGGCTTACCTACCAATAGGTGAGGCCTAGGAGACAGCTGACCAAAGAGAGGCCACCAGACCCACAACTGAAGCCAGAAAGCTACTCACTCCAAACTGGAGGCGTTCTGACCTTGCTTTTGGGAGTGGGTGACACCTGGCTCGGACTTTTGAAGCCCAGTCTTTTATATTCTAGAATGCAGCTTTGCCCGCACAGAAGACTAACGGTATCTACCTTAGAACGAATGCCTCAAGTATCCCCCTGAAGAGGTTAAAACTGTGTCAGACTTCGAGCCACCGGCCTGCCCCAAACACACAACTCTGGGGAGAGTCTGGAAGGCCTCAGAACCTCTAGTATCCTAACCGAGCTGGGCCAACACACTTCAAGGCAATGTTCTTCAGCTCCCTGAGGGGAAAAGGGAGGGCTCTCCAGCGAGGGCGGGACAAAGGTCACAGAAATGGGCCAAGGGCCAGGCTGACCAAGGGAACAGGGATAGGCATGGGCAAAGATGATGAGGGGGTGGAGCAAGGTCCTTTGGGAGCCATGACCCTCACAGAGATGACTGCGCCCTGGCCAGAGGATTTAAGCCGGCACCAAAGAGGGAAAACAAGCTACCCACATCTAACCCCCACCCTCTGTTCATAGGCGCCCTGCCTGAGAGAGAAAACCACAGACCTGTCCCTCCAATCCATTGAGCCCAGCAGAAAAAGAAGAGGCAAGGGTGCTGCCACCAGCCACGCACCTCTTCTTATGGGCTCTTTAATCCCTAAAAGGTATCACGATCAGTTGTCAACCCCACACACGCACACATACACGCACGCACACACACGCACACACACACACACACACACACCATGCACATCACTCCAAAGCCACACATTAAAGGTGAGAGCTGCGGCAGCCATGAAGATGGGGGACACAAAACCAACCCAGAGGTCTGAAGAGTCCAATCTCAGCTCTGCCACTCTGGGTGACCTTAGGCAGGTAGCTTAACCTCTCTAAGCATGTCCGCTTGCCTGTGAACTGTCTCCCTTGATGAACGAGGTCCTGGAAAGCACCTAGCACTGCCTGGCACAGAGAAGGCACTTAGGTCTCCCGCCTCCCCATCTCTCACCATCACCTGGGGTCCCTGGGCTCTTTGCCTCCTCTCCCTGGCCTTGCCCCAACCAGGACCAGCATCTGTGGACAGGGCCAGCATCTGTGGACAGGGCTAGCAGGGAATATTACCCGTTTTTCTGGATCTGCTTCCTCCCAGACGGAGGGGAAGATTGTGGGGGAGAGGGATATCTGGGGTGTGGGCAGAGGCCTGACCACAACCCTTTCCCAAATTCCCTTCTTGCATTTCACAAACCGAAAAAGGGAAATCTTTGGATTTGGGGAGGGAAGAGAAATAGACCATTTCCTCCCGTGTCCTGGGGAGAGAGAACTTAAAGGCCCCCAAACCTAGCGAGGCCACCTCCCAGGCCTCCCGTCTTCATGCATCCTCTCCACCCTACGCTCCTTCAAAACGAGGGGTCCCCAGGAACAGGAGTCAAGCAGTTCCCTCTGTTTTATCTGTATGCTTTGAGACAGGGCCTGCCACCCAAGCTGGCCTCAAACTAGCTGATGACCTTGAGTGGCTGACTCCCAGTCTCCACTTCCAGAACCCTCCCAGGGTAGACCGGCACCAACACACCGTGACAGGTTTACGTGGTGCTGGGGACAGAACCCAGGCTTCCTGCACGCCAGACAAGCACTTCACCAACCCTTGGCCCCAAGCAGCTCCCTCTGAAGGGGCTAAGGCTGGGGAGCTTAAAATAAGGGGAGATGGGGGTTTCCTAAACATTCTAGACAGTTAATGAATCATATGCAAATGAGACACAGAGCTCAAACTCCACTTGGGTGGGAGAGCCTCCAGCCCTGGCAAGACAGGAGAGCCCTACCCTCCGGACCCCCAACCCTGCCCAGAGTTAGTTGAGCTGGCCAGGCAGGGGCAGGGCAGGACAGGACCGATTTCAAACCAGAACAGTGGGCTCCGGCTATTTATAAGCTCTCCAGGAAAAATCCTTGTACACACAAAGCCACAACCTCTCCCCTCCCCCACGCAGCTTCATCTGCAGACCGACCGGGCCGGCCGGGAAGCAGTAGAGAGCACTACCCTCTTTTCTCCAAGGGTCCTCCCACTAACAGCTCTGGTTCTCCTCCTCACGGGCCCACTCAGCCTCGCGAAGGGAAAAGACTATGGAAGGCAGGGCCAGGCGGAAGCCATGCTCTTTCCCACCAGCCCTACACACTGGCAGCAAGGGTCTCTTCAGCTAGGCCTGGTGGGCCACCTGCCCCAGAGCGTGTCCTCTCAAGGGGGTCAGTGAGGTAAGAACACAGAACCTTGCTGCCGGATGCCAACGCTGCCCACATTAAGACACGGCGCCTCGTCCCACGAGAACAGTTCTCATCCATCTCCAACTTATACTCCACGAAACCAAACCTCCTCCCCAGCTCCCAGATGCCACGTATCAGCTGTGAATGACTAGCAAGCGTGAGGATCAATCAGAGACCATGAGGCCAGGACAAGTTGGGCCCCAAGAGCAAAGAGTGGGGGTTCTTCCCGATACATCAGAGACCATACGCCAGAGGGCCTGAGGGACACAGTCATTCAGGACTTCCCACGCCCAGGGTGGCTGAGGGGCCCATCCAGAACCAGGGCTGTAACTGGGTCTTCCATGGAAGCAGAGAGTAGGTGAAAGGGCAGGGGGCAGCCCAGGCCTACAGGAAGAGGGGGCCAACCCATGGGGAAGGAAGAAAACAGGAAGAGGAAGAAATGAGCCTGCCCTGGCCACAGCCAGACCACAGGAGAATGTGGACAGTACATGCCTATGGGGGACCAAATGGGCACAAAGGGGACCCCCCAGCTTGGAAACCACCGATGTGCATACCCAGCCTGGCATGGGGCTTTCCCCACCCTCACCCTGGCAGCTGCCCCCTCTCCACCTTCTCTCCACCACGCAGGAAGCACAACTCACTCATAATTAGGGGGAAGGTGTGGGGGGGGGGGAGGAGATGATCAGAGAAGCTAACCAAGCAGTCGCAAGTAGAGATGGGCTACACCAGTCCCCACTCATGCCTCAGCTCAGCCCCAACCCCAGCCTGCTGCACTCTGAAGCCTAGGGCACGCTGCCAATAGAACTAGATGCTACCAGTCCCCTCCCGTCATCCCTCCCTGGGGACCCAAGCTGCAGGGAAGCCAGGAACACCCCCCCACTACCTCAGGATATCCTTTTGGCTCTGACCCCAGACCAGGCCTGAGTCAGACTGGGCCCTGCCCCACAACCCCACACCCTAGGACCCCCCAGGAACTTCCTACTCCACAGGGAGCCCCTTAGTCCAGCAAGAACCAGGGGGAATCTCTTCCCTTCTCCATGCCTAGCCAAGCAGAGAAGCCCACATTAGGTGGGGAAATCTGGTCACTGAACTCTTAGGCCTTCCCTTCAAGAACAGAGCTTGCTGAAGCCGAGAGAAGCTGGTGTAGCCGTGTGTGGGAGAGCCAGCTGGCTGCAGGGCCACTATAGTCTCCCCACCCATGAAACACCAGGGACCCGGTGGCCCACAGTCCTGTATATTCCAGTGTGGATCCCAAGAAGCCACAAACTCTCCAGGGAGGAAGGAAGGAGAGGAGAGAGGAAGGTAGGGTCTATGAAGTGATGTCTGAAGAGGCAGAAGGACCCAGACTGAGGGGATGCGGCCACTCAATCAGTCTCACACAGTCACGGCCACAAAGTCAGTCTTCCCAACACAGTCTGAGTAGGTGGCTGTGACTCCTTCCCACAGACAGAAGTCTGAGGGCCCTAAGGGACCTGAGTCGTCAGAGACCACACACACAGGCTCAGCTTGAAAGGGCCCCCTAGACAGGCCTCTCAAACATCCCCCTCCCAACTGTGGGCCTTGAGGGGAGGGGCAGGTCCCTCCCCACAAAAACCAGGGGTAGTGCCTACGGCGGCCATCACCATGGCAACCAACAACAAACATCCCAGGAACCACAGTGGGACAGGAAGTGATGAGCACGTGACAGGAAGACTTTTTTTCCCCCCTTCACTGTTAGGGGGGTGCAGATAGGAGAGTTTGCAGCTCTTGGGGAAATCAGCTGTCGTCCCCCAACATTTCCCTTCCTAGAGCTGGAGAGAAGAGGGGGTCCGCTAGGAGGGTGGCCACTCCCCACCATTCTGTGCACCGTCAGTTCATATAGGGCTCACAGTGCCCTCCTCCACCTGCCACTCAAGGTTACCCTCCCTCATCCCCCCCCCCCTCCACTTCCTGCCGTGACTGGAGATCAGAGAACTCCATGCCACAGCTTCCCCTTCTCAAGTCTCGATTCCTGGGCTGAAGGTTTCGCTGTGGGGCAAGGGACAGGAGGGCTGGGGACCTGCAGTAGAGCCTAAGGGACAGATGCTCCAGGGGGAGAGGCCGGGAGGGGCTACCCAATAGGTGTGCACTCATGGGCACACAGCGAGGAGGTCACCGTGACACACTGAGGCTGCCTGACCTTAGGCAGCTTTGAGGAAGAGGGAGCCAGGGCCAGAGGACCTAGCCAGTACCCCACGTATTTCACCTGGGTCCTATCCTGAGCCTCCGGGTTCACTCTGGTTTTTCCGGTGGCCTCCAAGCAGGCAAATTCCCAAAGACCCAGCCCTTATCACCTCTCCCCTGCCTTTTGTGCTGAGGAATCCCCGCTCCCTGTTCCAAGGTGCCCGCCCAGACGAGGGCACCTTGGCTGAGGTGAGGGGAATGGAACCTCCCTCCACTCCCCTCCCCTTCTCTGCAGATGTCCCAGGCTATATTTAGCTCAAGCCGGGCGGCCAGCCAGCCCCAGACTCCCCACCGGCCGAGAGCTGAGCTCCCAATTTTTTATGCAATTAAAACATTAAGAGAACCACCCCATCGGGCCCCCCCAAGCGCACAAGCGCGCGTGCACATACATGCACCCGCGCGCGCACACACACACACACACACACACACACACACTGCCCTGTCAAGGGAGGATAGCTCTAAGAACTTGAAGGAGGACTGCCTACTCTTGCCTACTCTACAGCATCCGATGATGGGGTAACAGGGTCCTCGGGCAGGATAGGAGCATCAGGGCTCAGATGAGGGTGACTGACATTTGCAGTGGTGGTGGGGGGATGGGCTTTCCTAGTTCCCACCAGAAAGGAAAGGTCTATCTAGAAGAGGCTGGGGGCTGGCTGGAGAAATTCCACCTGTCATTTTGCAGCCCCTCACTGGCAGGCTCCGGTTACAAGGCTGGAGTTGGCAACAGGTGCTGGCCAGGCTGGCAGCAGCTTAATCCCCCACCAGCTACTGGGACTGAGTGTGGAGCCTGGAGGTCCAGCAGGGGCTTTGGGGGCAGGATGCTAAATGGAAGGGGGTATCTCAGGGCCAGCGAGGGACCTCTGCAGGAGGCAGCCCCTCTGTGATGGAGGGACCAGTGTAGCCGGGCAAAACCTACAGCAGCACCTATTCCATCTTCCCTATGATGCCAGGCCAGCGGGCGGACTAGAGTGTGGGAGGTCTGTCTGCCTGCCTGCCTCTTCCTCCTCCTTACCAAATTCCTGGAACAGGCAAGGGAGGTTCCAGTTGCAGTGAGGGGAGAGCAGGCAGGCGGTCCCGGCTTGGGGGGGGGGAGGGCAAGTGGGGAGAGGGGGTGAGGACCAGAGAGGGAGGCAAGATCCAGACAAGATCCAGACGAAGCAAGCGACACCCACACCCAAACCAGACTAGGGACACACACACACCAACGCTGACACGTTCTCACACTCTGGGCCAGGTCCCCGCACGCCGCCCACCCTGGAGGGACACCCAGACACCCTCAACTAATCCTGCCAATTCCCAGGACACCTCCTGGACACACAAGGAGATCCAGAGCTGCCCCGCCCCCACATCCCACAGAAACCGTGTGGGCTCCAGACAGCAGCAGGAGGGCGGAGAGGGAAACAGGAGGAAAGACAACAGGCCTCAGCTAGGATGGGGAGCCAAAGCCTTGCCAGCTGGGGGTATCACTGGCTATACTTCTTTCTCAAGACTCAGTAAGTCATGACAACCTTGGTCATCTCGCCAGAGGCTCTGCCAGCTTCCCACACTCCTAAAACCACCGCCACCAGACAGGGGTGTGGGGTGCTGGGAGTGGATGATTGTGCTTATTTGTCAAGGGGTAGGATTACCTTCCTCCATGTCCATCACCCTAAATCCTAGGCAGGGCTCCCCAGAAGACCCCATCGCAGGCTGGGCTCAACTCCTCTCTCCTCCAACTGAGAAAAGGTGCCCTGCTGAGGTATCCCAGGGGACAGGGATCTGGGTATTAAAGTTATTTCATGTCATACAGTTCTGAGGACAATCCACCTACAACCTCAGCATCTGAACGAGAGTGACCTGGTGAGAAAGATCCCAGAGGGTGGAGCTAGCTAGCTTCAGAGACCAAGCGGTTAATGGAAGGGCAGTTCATCTGAGTCTGTCTGTGTCCCCCAAACAGACCTGAAGGCCACTCAATGTTCTCACCCCCACACTAGACAGGCTGGCAGGAACAACGTCATGGCATGTGTGGGTGACTGTGCCCATGGGGGAGGCACAGGGGTGATCAGGCTGCCTACAGCTAGCTTCCTGCCAGGCTGCCACATGGTTAGGAGTAGGAGGTGAACTAGGAGGGATCCCAGGGTGCTGGCAGGTGCATTTAGGGTCAGACTACAGAGATTCAGGGCTGTGGCAGGACAAGGCTAATTCCCAGCCCAGTGTCTGCCACTAGATCTGAGGAACCCCTGCAGTGATGGCCTTCTGCACACACTGCAGGCTCACACCCTCCAAGTGCCTGCAAATCCACCATTGTAGGCTCCCAAGGGCCTACTTGAGTCTGACCCTATTGACCTCTCTGCTTCATGGCCCAGACTCCCAGGCAGTACTGATGTGCCAGCCCCTCACCGTGTGCCATCTTTCACAGCTACAAATTCTGTGACTCCACATGCCTCTTCCTCACAAGGAAGAGCCATGCATCTACCCCCAAAACCTCTTCTTGTTCCCGCCCCCGGACCCATTTCCACCCTTCCCAGGGGAGGCCCCAAGGCTCCAGGTCACCCCCACTCCAACATAGGGCCTTCCCCAGCTATGTCTCCACACAAAGCCCTGTAGAAGTTGGAGGAGTCTGGAGACCTGAACCCTAATTTTTTCTAGAAGGATCTAGGAGTCCTTACTCGGTCCCCAAAAATTCCTCCCCCCAAAAATTGTGCCTTGGGAAGCCTTCAGCTGCAGAAAGCACCTGGCACTCCTGAATCCCCATGCTGGGAGGGTGATCAGGAGCAGGACTGGGAGCTGGTAAAACAGAGCAAAGGGCAGAGGAAATCTGTTGGAGAGCACACACACATGTGCACACAGGCAGCAGGGAGCAATCTGGCTGCAAAATTGGAAGCTGGCACCAGGTAGGAGCAGGGGGTACCCTCCCTTCCATGCCAATACATTGGGCATCCTATCCAAGAAAGAATGGGCAGTGAAAAAAAAACACAAATCCAAAAAACTTCTCAAGACTGAGTTTGTTGTTGTTTTTGAAATTATTTCCATATGAGGTGGCCCCCACCCCCAGCCTAGCACAGTGGGGGATCTGTCCCCCTTTCCCACGAGCAGTCTGACAGCAGGGCAGTGCCCAGAGAGGAAAGGGGACACAGTTAAACTGATTTGCCAACCACCCCTCAACATACACACATCTGGCTAGCAGCTTCCAAGCCTCGTGGGTGGCACTAGATCCCAGACATCCTCAGCAAAGCAAGGTCGGCCGGTCTATTCTGTCCTTCCCTCACCCCAAAAGGCTTCCACAACCTCCAAGTAACACAAGACACAGGCGCATCTCACCCAACCGCACTGGCTCCCGCACCCAATTCTGACGGCTCCCCCACACTCCAACCGAGACACCAGCTGAGCGGGCCCCGCCCCCCAGCCAGATCCCTCTGGTGGGGGGTGGGCCCCCTGGCTGATTCTCCCCAAACCACAGGGCGGCTCAGGTAACAGGAGAGAGAGAGAGAGAGAGAGTAGGAGGGGGCTAGTCCGTTGGGCATCTGATCTCTCCCCAAACAGGTTTTCAGAAGTCTTTTTGTTTGGTTTGGTTTTGAAGAGAAAGAGAGAGTCCCCGGCGGGTGGATCCTCCACGGCTGGAGCTCTGGGGACACGCGCGGCAGACAGCTGCAGAAGCCTCAAGGCTGCGCGCGCGAAGATGCGGCGCAGACGGGGCTCCCCAACCCAGGACACGCCAGCGACAGGCTGGGAAGCCCAGGGAACCCCGGGTTCCCGTGGAAACCGCCCGGCACCCTGTCCCCGCCCGCGACTCCCATCCAGAGCAGGCCACCGAGCCCCGATACGTGAGAGCGCCGAGGGCTCCCCAGGATCCCAGGGGAGAGGTTACCTCGAAGCGAGGGGATGCAACCCGTCTGGGTGTCTGTGAGCACTGCGTCTGCCCCAAGTCGGCGCCTCGGCGCTGCCGGGAGTCAGGGGTGTGAGGTCCTAGGAGAGGAGCCGTCCGGGGGGCCGCGGCTCAGGGGCGCGGGGCGACGGCAGCGGCCATGGCGAGTCACGTGCGGAGGCTGAAACTTTACCCGGAGCCCCAGACTGGGGGGGCGGAGGGTATGGAGCTGGGGTGGGAGGGAGGCTCCCCCTCTCGCAGGCCCGCCCCTGCCTGCCACGGGCCAATCACTAGCCGGGGGCGGGTTCTCAGGCTCACACCCGGCCCTCTCTCCTTAATAGACCCAGGGAAGGGCAATTCTTAAAGGAGACGCTTCCAGCCCACGGCTGGACCGTGGGAATCTGGGAGAATCCCTCCTTCAAAACGCCAGGAAAGAGATTCAGAGCGAGAAGGAGTGTGTGTGTGTGTGTGTGTGTGTGTGTGTGTGTGTGTGTGTGTGTGAAGTTCAGAGAAAAGAATAAAAATAAGACTCGGCGGAGAAAGAACCTCAGCGTGCGGTATCCTCCACACTCCCTTCCCCCAGCTACACGCCCACACTCACAGGGACACACACACATCGCATACACCTACTAAACCTGGGAAGAGAGGAGGTGGTGTAATATGGAAGAGAACGCACTGACTCCTGCCCCAGCTGTCAAGTCTTTGTCTCTCCTAATCACAGTCCTCTGGGGCCAGCTGAAACTGAAAGCTATCTGACCTTGAGCAAGCCACTTCCCTTCTCTGGACCTTTACAGTTCTCCTCTGCAAAACCAAGCACAAAGAGTGGACGTCTTCCGGTTATCTTTCCCGACTATCTTTCCCCAACACCTCTCCAGCTCGAGTGGGTTCGAGGAAACTTCTAACAACTCAATTCCTCCGAGTAGCTTAAAGTATCACCCCAAAAGACAGGTCTTAGGTTGGCCAGGAGCCCTCTCCACCCCCACCCCCGCCCCCGCCCATTCTAGAAGACTCCACTCGAGTGGTCAGGGCAGTTCATACATGTTCCAGGAGGACAGGATCTGAATCATACTCCATCAGCAGACCTCAGTCCCCGGTTGTCATAAGCCCCTTCCCAGCCATTTGGAAGGCTAAAGTCCCCACCGGTGGCGGTCCACTGGAGGAGGGTGGGTCCGCTGTGGAGCGCCTCCCTCACCGAGTTCCTGGGCAGCGAAGTAGCAAGTGCCCCCACAGGACACAGGACATCCCACTGGAAAGGGAAGTGCCACACGCCCAGGCCTCCACCCTAGAGAAGAGACGCTCAGTCTGACCAGGTGGCCCGATTTTCAGACTAGGAACAAGAGGTCCGAGACCCATATTGGATTTTGTCCACCGTTGCATCGGTTGCTGAACCCGCTTAGAATTGGAGTTATCGGCTTGTCTCTCTCTCTCTCTCTCTGGCTCTGCTCCTCGGCCTAGAAAGGGTAGCACAGGCCAGGTTGGTGGGACGCGCTGCCCAGAGGTCGGACGCAAAGGAAAACTAGCCTAGGCAAAGGCTTCCCCGGGCCCTTCCCGCCCGCTGGGCCAGAGCAGAGAGCCGCCTCCGGCTCCTGTCTGGGTTTCCGCCGGTGCTAACCACCCGCCCAGCCCCTCCCTCCTGCTCCGTCCCCCGTCCCGTCCCGTCCCGTTCTGTCCCGTACAGATCCATCCACAAACATGCGCTCAGCAGGCAAGAATGCGCCAATGGCTCCCAGATGTGGAGGCCGACGCTTAACCCCTTCCTCTCCACACACCCCTCCACGCATCCCTCCCCACATCCCCCTTAAGCCATCCAGTCAGAGCCCCCTCCATCTTCAGGTGCCTCCATCCAAGTGAGGAACCAGGCTAAGAGGGGGCTAAGGCCAGTCCACCTTTAGCTCCCAGCTCCCACAGGTTGCTCCCAGCCTGTTTATCCTACGAGGCCAAAAGGGAAGGTTTATGGTCAGGAAAATTCAAGAGTGCATGCATAGAGTTACACCGCCTCCCACATGGGTAGCCTTCAGGCACACCTGCCAGCATATGGATTCAGGTACACTCTTACACACACACCCTGGCACAAAGGCATAACCCCACACACGTTCATGGTGTGACTGTGTACACCTCCAAGACAGATATGCACACCCAGCACAAAAAAGCAACAACAGATGTGTGTGTGTGTGTGTGTATACAAGGTCATAAAGCAGAGAATGTACCATGCTTCTGAACAGCCTTGGCTATAGATCCATGTGGAAATATAGATCCATAAGTGGTTGTGCTCACACAAACCACTTCCTATAGGAGGTCAGACACATACAAGATTGCACACACGGCCTGCACACCTTTGGGAGGCTTCCTTCATGCCCAGGGCACTCAATAGCACAGGTCCAAAGTCCAGCCCTACCCTCCTCCTACTGCAGAAGTCAGAAGTCAGAAGTCCCTAGTAGAGGGGCCAGGAGCCAAAGGCACTGTTGCAGGAGAACAGAGTACTTAGAATATAACAAGAATCTAGGAAGGAAGGTGTCCTAGGGCCTCTACTATCCCTGCACAAAGGAGACAGGCTGGGTGGGGGTGAGGGGCACATTTTCCCAGGACAAGTGTCCCTCTTCAGACTAATGAAGGCCAGAGAGGGCTCAGACAGGTAAGGACAGCTGTCCAGGGACAGCTCCTAATCAGCCTGTGGGAGACTCCAAAGAGCAGCATTAAACCAGGGGTGGTGGCACAACCTGTAACCTGCGGCAGCAGCACTTGGGATCCTCCAGCAGGGGCTGCTGAAGCTGAAGGCCAGTTTGGGCCAGCCAAGGCTACCGAGTGAGAAACAGAGCAACCAAAGTACAGCATGGAGCCAGGCATGGTGGTGCATGCGTGTATGTGTGTGTATGTGTGTGTGCGTGCGCGCACATGCATATGTTTGTGTGTGTGTAACCTCAGCACCCCAGCACTAGGGAGGTAGCAGCAGGAGGATTAGGAGTTTGAGGACAGCCTAAAGTGGGAGCCGGAGAACAATGGCAGGCATGCAAGCACTAAGCAGAATCTGATCTGAAGAGGGCATGGGGAAAGAAGGTCTCTCGAAGACCACCTGGGGGCTGGAGAGATGGCTCAGCGGTTTGAGCACTCACTGGCTACTCTTCCAGAGGATCCGTGTTCAATTTGCAGCACCCACACGGCAGCTCGCAACTCTCTGTACCTCCTGTTCCAGGGGATCCGACACCCTTACACAGACATACATGTAGGCAGAACACCAATGTACGTAAAATAAAAATAAATGCATTCCTTTTTTAAAAAGACCACCTGGAGGTGGGTGAGGTGAGATGTACTTGCTAGAACCAACCTCAACTCGTTCTTCCTCCCCAGTCTCCCAGTTTATGTATCCAAAAGGTGTACTGCATCTTGAATCCACTTTTCAGTCATGGTCCTGTACCCATAGTACAGAATAGAAAACCGAGGCTCAAAAAAAAATTGCCAACCAACTGAATATGCTCGTTCATGCTTATCATCCCAGCCCTTGAGAGACTGAGACTGGGGATGGCCATAAACTCTAGGCAACTCTAGGTAAGTTCCAGGTCAGCCTGGGCTACAGAGTAAGAACCTGTCACAAACAAATAGAACAAAAGAAAAATGAATTGCTTTGCCAAGGTCATGCAGTTTGTCAATGCAGACCCCAAGGCAGCTGTCTGCGCCAGGCTCCTGCCACTGCCATCACCAGCACACTCCGCTGTCCCTTCAACTCAGACATATCCCACTCTATCCTGAAGCCTACTGCATCCTTTCCCTCCACAGCAGAGCTTGTGGGGGAAGCAGCATGCCTGCCTGGCTCTGCAGGCTTATGGGTAGGGCCAGGAGATGAAAGAGCCCAGAGAAGGCACTGAGGGTACACATATAACCACCACCCTAGCCCTCGCATGATGCCCACCTACCAGGCGGGCACGGCCTGGTGACTCAGCCGCATCCGGGTAAGATGCCAGGGCAGTGACTCACCTACCGAGAAGAGCTGAGTCTGGTACTTTGCCAGCCCCGGGACAGAAGCGACTTAGTCACTATCCGGGCTGTGCTGCCCAGCAGGCATGGCCTAAAGATGAGGGACAGGGGCCAGCTATGTCCCTCTCTGGTCACATGCGCCCCCTGGTGAAGGCAGGCCTCAGCATCCAGGATGGAACTGTGGCTCTGCTGGCCTCCGCCTCCTCCCTACTGCCCAGCTTCATGATACCACCTCTGCTCTGGTGCCAACAAGTTTAGTGAGACCCTTGGGCAGGGCTGCCCCTCCCCCTTGCAGCCTGCCCCCCTGCCCATCACTCACCACCCACTCTCTGACTTACCCCACCTCCTCCTGCCACCCAAGTTGTACCCAGGCTATGAGTCTCCTTTAAACATGTCCTGGCAGCACCCCTGCCCCCACAGCCCCTCTCACCCTCCCCACCCCCACATCACACACACACACACACACACACACACACACACACACACACACTCCTGCCAGCAGCTGCTGAAGTTGTTGAGCAGGAGGGAAATCATGAGGGTGGGGCCAGGGATTGAGTTACCAAAGCCAATGGGGTGGGCTGTCACCCAATCCCTTCTCTAACTCCTTCCCCAGTCTCCCTCACCCACCTGCCTCCCGCCCTACCTCTGGCTGGCAGCCCGCTGCCCTTTGAGCCCCTCCACCCCACTCCACCCAAACTAGGAAATAAGTGTTCAGGAGGATTTGTCAAGCTAAGACCAGCCCGGTATATGTGAGCGGGAGAATACAAGAGAGATGGAGCTGCGGCGTGCCTGTGCCCCGTGTTGGGGCTACAACTGTACACTAGGTGTGTCTATGCCCATGTTAAGCCAGAAAGGGACAGAATGACTTACAGGGTCCCGGGGGAGTTGGAGGGGCCCAAAGGGAGTCAACCCGCTGAACAGTCTCAATCCATTTGCACTATTGATTTCTCACACGCTGCAGCAGGCTTGATGGGGGGCGTGATAAATCAGGACCCCAGGGACAGGGAGACTTGAGTGGAGAGGGGGGAGGGGCTCCGGCACCATAAGACCCACTCGGAGCTGCTGGGTGAGGAGGTGGCCAGCCAGAAACCCAGAAACCGGCAGAGGCTGAATGGCAGGAGGTAGGGGCAGAAAGTAGGTGTTAGATGACCACAACGCCCCCCAGCTGGCAACACCGATAGGTTCTGGAACGACTCTAGGGTGCGTCACTCACCTCACAAACTAAAGAATGGCTTTCTCTGCACATACACACCATGGATCCCTTAAGGAGCCAGAATGCCAACAGATTCCCAAGAGACAGCTATTCCCTACCGAACTGTCTCCCCAGTCCTTGGCTCCTAGGCCAGAGAACATCTGCTGATTGCTTTGTTCCCTTTCTGGGCTGGTGGCAATGGCACGGGTCCTGGGCATGGCAGGAACAGGCTCACAAAGGGTTCCGAAGGGTCTGAAGATCCGTATTCTTGTCCTCCATCTGTTCCCAAGTCATCCTGCA